ACTTTATATGGGATGCTGCCACAGCACGGCTCGACAAGCAGTGCGTTGGTGCTCGCCCAGGATCCGAACGGGCAAATCCCGGGCCGCCACAGCAGAGCGCACACACTTAACCGCTTGTGCCACTGGGCCGGCCCGTGGAAATATTTTCTATGGGTTATATTTTCACTTTCTTAATGTTGTTCTTTGACACAAAATTTTTTAAGTTTGTGGAAATCAATTTATCAATTTTTTCTTTTGTCATGTGTGCTTTTGTTTTTGTACGAAAGAAGCCATGTGTAAGCCAAAAGATACAAAGATTTAATCCTATGTTTTCTTCTAGGGGTTTTATGGATTTAGCTCTGACATTTTGATCTATGATCCATTTTGAGTCTTTTTATATATGGTATGAGGTATAATTCCAAGTTCATTCTTTTGCGTGCACCTATCCAGTTGTCCCAGCACCATTTGTTGATTTCACTATTAGCACAAACCAGCCTTTTTTTTTTGTTTTTTTCCCCCGGTGAGGAAGATTAGCCCTGATGCCAATCCTCCTCTTTTTGCTGAGGAAGACTGGCCTTGGGCTAACATCCATGTCCATCTTCTTCTACTTTATATGGGGCGCTGCCACAGCATGGTTTGACAAGCGGTGCATCAGTATGCGCCCAGGAGCCGAACCTGTGAACCCAGACACCAAAGCAGAGCATGTGAACTTAACTGCTTTGCCACCAGCCGGCCTCCTATCTTGTGTATTACTGCCCCTGGCTCTCAAGTCACCCTAGTTCACATCCTCATTTTAGGGTGACCCTAAATTATACCTATATCTGAATTGCAGCTTGATTGTGGACAAAAATCCTTGGCTTTCACTCTCTTGCTTCATTATCCTTTTGATTTTGGTGCACTGACTTCTGGTGCTAAATACTCAGTAGAAACTTGACCTAGTCCAAGTTTCTCTCCTTTAAGCAACTTGAGGTTTTCTCTAGATGCTCAAGTATCTTCCTTTATCTTACAGACCAAATAACTTTGGTCAAAACTGAGATATATTTTAGTTTTCTGGATCAATTTTCCCTTAAATGGGACTGTCCTGATCTTGGCACATAGGTTCCACCTGATATCACTTTGCTTGACCTCTACTCTCCTCACAGCAGTTCCTTCTCCAAAGTCTATCCTTCAAAATAAGCCCCTCATCTTCCTGGAATGATTTTTCCTCCTATTTCTGGAGTTTTCTCTAATAGGTTCACCAGTTCCTAAGCACCACTTCTCACCTCTGCTTACCAGCCCTCATCCTCTGACGTGCTTCTATCTAATCTCAACTGTATTGGGAAGCACTCAGGTGTATTTTGGAGTTCATGGACTTTTCCTTTCTCCGAACTTTACTGAAACTGAAGTTTGCTGTTTTGCTCCCCATTTGCAACTTTGAATTGTTTCCAAGAGGTGAAAGGGGTAGGATTAATATATAAGCTGTTGTACTAATCATACTAATAAATCCCCTCCCCCCCCCCCAGTTGGGGGAGTCAGGGATCAAACCATGGAAGACCGGAGAAGAATAAATTACAACTCTAAATGCTGCAGAGAGAGACTGAAATTGTACGTATGAAAACAATATCCCTAATGCTTCAGAGGGTGTGGGATTCACAGCCATACGCAAACAGACACGATTTTACAAAAACCATGTTTGAAATTGTGTGTCAGACGAACTGGTTTGCTTTTTGCTTCTCCAATAGTCAAGTAAAACTGCTGGTTGAAGAACATATTATTTTCCAGATGAAGAGAATGAGGTAACTCATCCAGTTTCACCTATGGCCTTACACACACTAGGGCCATCTTCAGAGTCACCACCACCATCCCCAGCACACACACTGCTTGACGCTCCGGACAACCCGCCCCCAACAGCCCCATGCTGGGCTCCTGGATTACTCTCCTTCAGTTTCCCTGGTGCGGTTCAGGTCTGAGACTCCCAGGCTTCCGCTCACTGAGCAACGCAGGTCCCCCGCCACGCTCATCCACTGACGAAGGCAAAAATTGCGATTTAGTCAGTCAGTCCCGAGTATTCACCGAGTGGGCTACAGCTCCTAGAAGAGTCTTGGGCGCGGCTCCGCGCCGCTCTTCACTGTGGACAAGCTCATGCAGAAAGTTAACTAAGACAGTCTTCTACTTGGGCTGGCACCGCGCCCCTTCCAGTGCTAGACTACATTTCCCAGAAGTTCCTGCGGCTCTAATCAACTTCTGGCGCGAACCTGGCGACCTTTTTCTATTTCTCAGGGAACATATGGCTCCTTGGGATTAGCTGGGTCCAAGGAGGATGCTTGTCTCCCGAATATGGGCCCGCCTCGTGTGGGAGCCTCACTCCGAGCCTGCGTCTGGATCTCGAAGACTCCTGGCAGCGATTCGGAGAGGCGAGCAGGGGTGTGGGCTTGGCCCAGGCTGCGCGCTGGCAGGAGACAGGAGGGCCAGGCGCCATCTTGTCCGAGCAGATCCGGCTCCAGACTACATTTCCCAGAGACTCCCGCGGGAACAGGGCCTCCGCTTCGCTTGCCTGCGGGATCCTCGGCCTCCCGGGAAGGGGCAGTGCAAGGTGAGCGGCCTAGGTCTTGTGGGCTCGAGTAGCCTCCGCAGGTCCGTCCCTGAGAGTCTGAAGGGACCGTCCGGGCGGGTCCAGAGTCTCGGGCCTGTGTGATGTGGCTGGGCTGGGGGAGAGGGCAAGAGATGTGGGATTCCATGTGTGCGATTGTGACCTTACGTGACTGCGGCGCTGTGTGTGCGGGTGTGATTGTATGTCCCTGTGGTGGGTGTGTCATTGTGACTGTGACCATGCGCAGAGCTCTTTGTGCAGGTGTGACTGTGGATATTCTCTCTCCAGGTGTGTGATTGTGGTAATTCGCGGCGCTGTGTGTGTAGGTGTGACTGTGTCCCCGTGGTGGGACCGTGATTGTGTGGGTACGTATAACTTTGTGTGACATAGTGTGTGGCGGGGAGGTGTAGAGAATCTGTGATTAGGCGGCTATGACTGTGTTATCTGAGGGCTGCCTGTGTGGGATCGTGGTTGTATGAATGTTAGCAGCACTAAGTACTGGATGTATGTGACTGTGTGAAGATGAGTGAGTGTGATCATGTAACTTTTTTTGTGGTGCTGTGTGTGCTGTTGGAGGGTGCCTGTAATTGTGCCAGGGTGACAGTGTGTGTGTCTCAGTGGTTGATAGTGAAATCAGGACTGATTTTGGTCGCTGACAGCAGAGACTTCTCCCCTTCTGACGCCAGGAATGCTCAGGACAGCCTAGACGCCTCTGACCTCTCTCCATCCCTCCTCTCTATGGGTGGTAGGTGTGGGTGCAGAGCTACCTCTGGTCAGTATGGGCTGCAGGAAAGGCCTGACATCCCATGATTCCTTTCCCCTTCCTCAGCTCTGCTCTTCTCAGAGAGGTCCCCAGAGGAATGGCTGTTGACCAAGCCAAATACAAGGTGCGCTGGGGTTTCCTTTTTGCTTTCCTTCTCCTGGATGGTCTTGTTTAAAATAGACTCATCAAGTCATCTGGTTCCTACACATTTCCATTCAAGAAAATGATGAGAAGCCCTGGGGGTGGACACCTAGATCCCAGTATTCTCCCTCATTTCCTTCTACATAACGTTCTCATGTTAATTTAGAAAATAGCTCAGTTTAGCCTGTGTCCTGTATTTGCTTCTTTTTAAACACACCTGCACACACACACACACAAGGATTATTTTAAAGAATTTGGAAAAGAGGAAGTTACAAAGAGCAAAAGTAAGCTCCTACCACCCAGACATAACCACTGTCAATATTTTGATCTGTTTCCTTCCATGCACATATAGTATGCATTATTTCAAAATTGGAATCTTAAACAGCATTTATCATTTCATATCTTATTTTTTCACTAAAAATTATTTGTAGTTTGTAGAAAAAGCTATTAACAGTTTTTTTTTGTGTGTGTGTGTGAGGAAGATCAGCCCTGAGCTAACGTCCGTGCCAATCCTCCTCGTTTTTTGCTGAGGAAGACTGGCCCTGAGCTAATATCCGTGCCCATCTTCCTCCACTTTATGTGGGATGCCACCACAGCATGGCCTGACAAGTGGTGCGTGGGTGCGCCCCCGGGATCCGAACCTGGGGCGCCAGCAGCGGAGCGCGCGCACTTAACTGCTACACCAGGGGGCGGCCCCAGTTTTTTCTTTTTTTAAAATTCCTGAATATTACATATATACACAGAAGTGCTTAAAATACAGACATATAGTTTAAGAAGTAATTATAAAGGGAAGCTCTATATAACAAAAACTTGGCTCAGCACTCCAGAAGCCCCTGTTAGTCAGCACTCCAGAAGCCCCTGTTAAACCTATCCTCTTCACCTCTTTAGGTAACCCCTATCCTGACTTTGGTGATAAGTATTTTCTTGTTGGTTTTTTTAAAAAAAAGTTTACCACATATCTACACGTCCCTAAATAATATAGTTTAGTTTTGCCTTTTTAACTTGATAGAAATGAAATTATACTGTGTAGTGTTTTGAGTCTCGCTTTTCTTACACAATATTACATTTCTTAGTCTCATGCTTGTTGTTAGTTGTTATATCTAGCTGTAGTTTAGACATTGGCTGTTACCAATTTTTGGCTCCTTTGAAAGGGCTGCTCGAAACATATTTTTATAAGTACCCTGTTGGCACATATGCATACTTTCCTAGTGTATAAATATATAAATGGAATTGCTGGGCCCTAGGATATGTGTGTATCTTCAGATTTCCCTAGATAATGCCGAACTGATTTTCAGTTCCTTCAATTCCAGTTAAATTCCTACCAGCAGTTTGTAAACATAGTCATCCTGTCTTCTCTCTAATACTTGGTCACTTGGTATTTTAATTTTTGATGAATCTGCTAATACATCATGTAGTTTTAAACATTCCAAAAAGTACTGGAATCAAAGTATATGACTTGATGAATTTTACAAAATGAGCATATTCATTTAACCAGAGCTCCAGTCAGATCAGGAAATAGAACATTACCAGCATTCCAGAAGCCAGGTTCTTGTCGCATCCACTCACTCCCCACCTCTCCCAGAGATGACCTTTATTCTGTCTTCTATAGCAATGCATTAATTTTACCTGTTCGTGAATTTTATATAATAGAATCACACAGTATCTCCTCTTTTGTGCTTGGCTTCTTTTGCCAACTTTACATTTCACAGGTAATATGAATGTACTATGGAATAATATTATGTAGTATGAATATGTGAGGGTCATCCATGTTGCTTCCCATAGTTGTACGTCATTTATTATTGTTGTTTAAAATTCCGTTGTATGAACAAACCCACAAATTATTTATCCATTGCATTATTGATTGGTATTTGAGTTGTTTTCAGATTAAGGCTATTATGAACAAAGCTGCTATGAACCTTCTTGTATGTGTCTTTTGGTGCACATATGAATGCATTTCTGTTGGGTCTATCCCTAGGAGTGAAATTTCTACATCATAGGTTATGCATGCATTCAGCTTTAATATATACTGACAGTTTTCCTAAATGGTTGTGTGAATTTACACTCCTGACTTCATTGTATGAGAATAGACTTTAGGACAAGAAGCTCTACTAGACATAAAGAACAATAGTTCATAATAAAAAGGTTAGTCCATTAGTAAGATATTACAGTTCTGAGTGTATATATCTTCATAAAATGATTTCAGATATATTTGACAAAACTAAAAGAGGTAGTAGACAAATCACAATTCACAGTGGGGGATTTTTAGCACTTTTCTCAATAGCTGATCGAACAATCAATATAAACTCAGTAAAGCTATATAATATTTGAACAATGTGATTGACAAACTTGGCCTAATTGACGTACGTAGAAGAGTGTGCCCTACAACTACAGTATATATTATTTTCAGATGCATGTGAGACATTTATCCAAATTGATCATGTGCTGGACCATAAAGGGAATCTCAGTAAATTTCAAAGGATTGAAATAATACTGTATGTTTTCTCACCACAGTGGAATTCAGCTGGAAGTCCATAACAAAAAAGATAATTAGACATATCCCAATGTTTGGGATTTAAGCAATGTGTTTATAAATAACTGGTGAATCAAAAAAGATTTTACAATGGAAATTTAAAATATTTCGAACTGAATGATAATGAAAATATAACATATCAAAATGTGGAGTGTTACTAAAGCTGAACCTGAGGAAAATATGTAGCCATCAATGCATATGCTAGTAAAGGAGAATGTTGAAAAATTAATGATCTATGTATTCATTTCAAGAAGTTAAGGAAAAGTATACTAAATTAAACCCAAAGAAACCAAAAAATAGGAAATAATAAGAGTTCAAATATAAACTTATGTATTTTGAAATATAAAATGAATGGACCATAGAGAAAATTAACAAAGCCAAAAGTTTATTTTTTGTAATTAATAAAATTGATAAACCTCTAGCAAAACTTAAAGAAAAAAAGCAGATAGAACACAAATTACCAAATCAGATAGGAGAAAACAAACAGAATAGCTTTAAGGCTGAGTTCTCAATTCTTGGTTGGTACCTGGGACTTGGTTACACAATATAAGATCATTAGAACCTGAGCCAGTGATCATGACACTGTGAGTCCCGTTTTATACTTCATCAAACATGTAGATTTCTGTTTTTAATATAGATTTTTATTTTTATAACTCAGTTTCTTTATTGGACATGATGTGTGCTTTAAGTTTGCATGGACTGCAATGTCATTACAACTCATCGTCCTGTCATGAAGATGTTGACCTGGGCTAGTAGTGTTTCTTTAAAAACATATCTCCCTATTAATGTTACTATATAATTATTAAGAGTTTAATACTGTTAATAAAATGTTCATTTCCTAGGTGATAATAGATTGAGTATGCAATGAGCTCTTTGGGACATTTGGCTTATCAGTTTATCATACCCTGTTTCTCCTTAGGTTTGTGTGTATCCACTGGGGCTGACTAACTGTGGAATAGTTCTTGTCTTGGGTTACTATGTGAGGCCACAGGTGTGTGGGTCCTTCCTGGTTTGAGTACAGGTTTTCCTTTTTCTGAGGCTAACTGGCTTTTTTGAAGTTCTCTGAGTTTATACTTTTCAGATTGTACAGATGGAAACAAGCACCTTATACCATATATAAAGACGAAGAAAAAACATATATAATCACTCACTGATTATGGCAAGGGAAAACCTATTTTCATTTACCTTCTTCTTTTGTGCACTCCGTGATTTTCTCTCACATGTCATTGTGGACTTAGAGCATTTTCCAGTGTTTTAATTAACTGATGGTTGTCGTAGCCTCCCTCATAGTACAAGGAGAAGTGGTGGGAGACGTGTTCATAGTATATTGTTGCATAAATTTTCATTACTTGGCCAATGAGAGCCCTTTTTAGGAGATTCTTAAAAGAAGTCCTTTCAGCGCAGAACCTGTTATTTTTGAAAATAGCCTTTGGCCACGGCAGAAGGTTCCAGATCTAACCAAAATTTTTTTTTCTGTTCTAAGACATGGAGTCAGCTATTATCCAGGAACTCTCTTTTCTTTTCTGTTCTTTTCTTTCCTCTTGTCTTCACAGTGTCTATTTCACTGTACTAATCAATACCATAAACTTTTTTAAAGTTTAAACTCCTGGCTCCTTGAGCTAGAAGCTTGCAGTGAGAAAGCCTTGATGATTGCTTCTCTCTTTCCTTTTCCTGAACTTCTCCTCCGTCCCACTAGGTATTCTTAACTCCCTGAAGTTAGGAGCAGGGAAAGGAAAAGGGAATAAGGGACAAGAAAAATCTTGTGTTGACACTGGTTCTCTCTTGCTTTGGGGCATGTTCATGTCTGACTTTCTGAGGAGAGGACAATGGCTCTACCCCAGTTGGCTGCTTATAATTCCTACATTCAGCCTTTGGGCGTAGGTCCTCCATGGAGCCCTTGTCCAGAGGTCAAGGTCCCCTACTGGAAGTCCTCTTGGTAGGCTTGGAATAAACCCAGACCCAGGCTGGCTCCTATCGTGGGGTCCATATCTAGTCCCAGGAGGGAAGTAAGCCCCAGTCTTTGTGTCTTCTAAACTCTGAGAACACAGGGAAAGTTTTCCTAAGAACTCTCATACATTCCACTTGCAACCCTGGTAGCACTGGGGTCCCCTCTGTTCCTTATGAGGTACGAATATAGAGCACACCAACACTATCCAAAAATAGGTCTTTCTTGCAAAGACAGCCTTCTCTCGTACACTCTCTAATCTCTAAAATACCTCTGGAATAGAAGTTGAATTGAACCAAGGGCACAAAATCAGTTTCCAGCCGGCTTGTTTTGCACAATACGTAAGATGGCCAAGGTTTTCACTGTGGAATGCAGCATTTCGTGGTCCCTGTTGTCTGGCTCTCCTTCTCTAGGACTTTTCCTAAACTGAGAATGAGAGAGGCATATTTTAACATCTTGTTATATGCTGAAAACTAGTGCAAATAATAAAATTCAAAAAGGTACAAAGTCTCAACATGCAGAAATGAGTAGAACTTTGTATATTAAAAACAAAACAAAACAGATGGAAGATACATTGGGAAAAGACCTCATTTAATAACAGCCACAAAAAATAGTATGAGATACCTAGGAATAATCTGAATAAGAAATGTGCATGATACGTATGAAGAAAACTTTTAAATGTTCCTAAAGGACAAAACATTGACTTGAATAAGTAGAAAGGTATTGTATTCTAGGAAAGGTATTCTAGGAAAGCAAGACTCAGCATCGTAAAGATGTCAGAACTCCGTAAATTAATCTATTCATTTTATGCAGTCCCAGGAAAAATACCAGGACAATATTTTAACTGATCTTGTTCATATGGAAACTTTTGAAAAAGATGAGTAATAATGGGTTATTTATTTTTTTGAATCTAGACAAGCTTCAGAGCCAGAACTTTTTTAAAAGAAGACTTTATTTTTTTAGAGCAGTTTTAGGCTTACAGCAAACTGGAGAGGAAGGTACAGCGATTTCCCATACACCTCTTGCTGCCACACATGCATGGCATGTTGTCAACATGCCCCACTAAGGTGGTACATTCGGTACCATTAATGAACCTACATCGACACATCGTTATCACCCAAAGTCAGTAGTTTACATTAGGGTTCACTCTTGATGTTGTACAGTCTGTGGGTTTGGACAATGTATAATGACATGCATCCATTATTATAGTATCATCCAGAGTAGTTTCACTGCCCTAAAAATCCTCTGTGCTTCGCCTTCCTCTTTCCCTCCTTAACTCCTGAAAACCATTGTTCTTTTTACTGTCTCCATATTTTTGCCTTTTCCAGAATGGCATATAGTTGGAATCATACAGTATATAGCTTTTCATGTTGGCTTCTTTCACTTAGTATTATGTCTTTTCATGGCTCTGTAGCTCCTTTCTTTTTATCACTGAATAATATTCCATTGTCTAGATGTACCACAGTTTATTTAACTGTTCACCTACTGAGGGATATCTTGGTTTTTTCCCAAGTTTTGGCAATCATGAATAAAGCTCCTCTAAACTTCTGTGCACAAGTTTTTGTGTGACATAATTTTTCAACTCCTTTGATTAAATACTGAGGAGCTGAATTGCTGGATCACATAATAAGAGTATGTTTTGTAAGAAACTGCCAAACTGTCTCCCAAAGTGGTAGCTGTAGCATTTTGCATTCCCACCAGCAATGAGTGAGTTCTGTTGCTCCTTGCCAGCATTTGGTGTTGTCACTGTTCTGGATTTTGGCCATTCTAATAGGTATGTAGTGGAGGGGTCTTTTATTAAGACATTAAAACATATTCTTAAATTATAATAAGTAGAGAATGTGATGCCGGCAAAAGAATAAATGGATTACTGAACCAAAATAGAACCGCAAGTAAATACAACCATGTATCATCTATGATAATTGCAGCATTTAAATCAGTAGGGAAAATATATTCCATAGTTATCTGTTCTAAAGCTCACTTTTTTTTCTCTCTCTCATTTCAACATATCTGAAGTCAGGTTATATCTACATAGTTTCTTACTTTCTTAGTGGCATATAAAATAATGGTGTATTTTAAGTCCCATGAAATATTTTATTATTCACATGTGACTTTGATACACCTGGGTAGCCCCCTCTGGGGGAAAAATTAAGTAGGATTCCTAACTCACATCTTATACTGAAATAAAATTATAATTTATAATCTTATACCATAGTCTTTTATCAAATAATCTTATATCAAAATTAAATAATTGATTAAAGATTTAAGTGTAACAAATGAAAGCGTTCAAGTTGTAGAAAAAGGAGAAATTTATATAAATATGTATAGGTAAGAAAGATCTTACCCAAAAGCTAGAAAAGCTGACATTTAGGCTATTTTGCATGGCAAAAACACATAAACAAAGTTTATTTATTTATTTTTAGGAAACAGCTAGAACATAAGAATGAGGAGTGTGTCTGTGTGGGTGTGGTTGTGTGGTGGGAGAAGCTGACTGACTTTCTTGGGCTTGGGAAGTGAGAAGACTTGATTAGGGAAGTCTTTAGTCCTTCTGATCAGAGCTGTGTTCCTGGCCAAAGGGCACTGCTTGGGGACTTGAGGGCTGCGGAGAAGGGATCTGCTCAGGGCAGGTCATGGCAGCTCTGTCTTGGGTTCAGAGCAACAATGTCACTGAGGTGGGGCAAGATCTGGCCTGAATCACTTGGCTGAGGCAGGAACCTGGGCTGCTTGGGTAAAAGGGAGAGAATTTCAGTCTATTCCTTTGGATCCACTAGCCAGGGTCCGTCTTGCTGTAGCTAAAGCCTAGCGTTTTTGGAGTTGAAGAAGGAGTACAATTTGTTCCATACTCCCACTAACTAGAGTTATATCCTAAGACCAAGGGAAGTGGAGGTGGTTTTACCTGGTCAGTCCGAGAGCTGTAAGGTCAGTGTGTTTCTAGAGTGTTTCTTTGCTTCCCAAGGCCTGCCTTCTCAGAACACTATCCTTTTTCAGGAGAACAGCTCGGAGGACTAATCATCCCCTGCAAAACTGAAAGCCATGGCCCAGGTGAGTTGGTGCTTTTTCTTACCTTCCTGACATTGAGTTCTTTTTAAGAAATAAAACAGTTATTTAAAAGGGCATGCAAGCATTTGCTTTCCTTCTCCTGACAGTTCTGGCTAGATGGGTTCTCCTTCAGGGTCCTCGTCCCCATTTCTTCTCATTCCAGCCAGACAATCCTATACCATTCCTAAGTGCCCCTCTTCTTTTGACCCAGCATTAATATTTTCATTCAGTAAATAATTGAGCATCTCTTTTCTCCGCCCTCTCCCAGGGACTATGATGGAGAGGAAATGCATTCCCTTAAAGGAAACGAGTAGATTTGTAGAATGAACTTGTCTTGTCTGGACAGTGATTTGATGAGGTTGAAGTATGAGTTGCTTGGCTGGGAACAAACCTGGGAAAAGCCAGGTTTATCTCTACAGATCAGCATTCTCCAGTAAGATAGGGTGGGAGGTGGTGTTGGTAGCTCCAAATGTTAGATTGTTGCAAGATCTTCTGGTTTATGAGGCTTGGAGGATAGTGGGGTTGGTAGCTGACACAGACAGATCTCTGCAACTGTTGGGGCATCCATGAGAGAAGTCCAATCTGAAGTGGAACAGGAAGTGTGGGTCATGAGGAATTTCTGTATGAATCACCAGTTTTCTTTATCTCAGAAATAAGGATAGGGATGATGGATGATTGCAGTGAGTTCAGCCAATTCATAAATTGTTGAGATCATACTATCAGAGATCAGAGAAACTTTCTAAATCTTGCCTGGTAATATCTATATTGTAGAAAATTCTGTCATCAGAGAAATAATTGTTAAAGAATTTGTACTAATAGGAAATTATTCTTATAACGGTAAGTTATAAGAGTGAACCAGAGTTTATGAGAAACTTAAATTATATGCTGTTGCAGAGATATTGCTGTTTTAAAATGTATTTGAAAAATTTTACATGTGAAAAATTCAAGGAGTATTAAGAACAAGGTCCTGACCCACTACTTCATCCTACTCCCTAAAGGCAGACACTCTCATCTGTTTTAGCTGGTTCCAGTGGCATTTATCCATATTTTTAATTAATATTCCTATATTGCTATTTCTTGATTAATCAATTTTTAGACATTTTCTAGTTATTTCTTTGCAAGGTGTATGTGGATTTAAATTTTTATTTATTTATTTATTTTTTGCCCCAAAGCCCCAGTAGATAGTTGTATGTCATAGATGCACATCCCTCTAGTTGCTGTACGTGGGACGTGGCCTCAGCATGGCCAGAGAAGCGGTGCATCAGTGTGCACCCGGGATCCGAACCCGGGCCGCCAGCAGCGGAGCACACGCACTTAACCGCCAAGCCACGGGGCCGGCCCAAGGTGTATGTGAATTTAGATTTGCTATGTCACACTCTCTACTTCCTTTCCCCACAACAGAGTTATATCACAATTTTGTTTATTTAAATCAATGCTATACACATGATTAGGACCTTGCAAATATTCTGTTGCAACTGTTCTCTACCACCTCCCTTTAAAAAAGCTTTATTATAATAAATTGGAGACACAGAAAAGCAGAGTGGTCTTATGAACTATCATATACTCACCATTCAGCTTCAGTAATTATCAGCTCAGAGTCAGTCTTGTTACATCTGTACTGCTACCTGGTTCTTCCATGCACACCCCCCACCCTCATTCCCACACAGGATTATTTTGAAGCACATACCAATTGGTATGTATCTCTAAAAGATAAGGATTATTTTTTAAAAACCATTACATCATTACTGCATCTAAAAAAGTTAAAAATAATTTGTTGATATCATCAATATCCAGTGTTCAGATTTCCATAATTGTCTAATTGTTTAAATCATTTATTTGAATTAGAATCCAAATAAGGATTGTGTACTGCACTTGGTTGATATGTCTCTCGAGTCTCTTACGCCTTCCATCTCTTTTCTTTCTGTGCAGTCTTTTTTGTTAGAAAAGAAAAAAAAATCTGATTCATTTGTCCACTCTTTGGATTTTGCTGATTGCATCTTTGTGGTATCATTTAAGTGTTTCCTGAAAATTGGTAGTTAGGTCTAGAAGCTTCATCAGATTCAGTTGGGATTTTTTTGTCAAGAATATTTCATAGGTGGTGATGTGTCATTCCATTAGGAGGCACATTATATCCAATTCTCTTTCTTTTTGTAATGTTAGCCACGATTGACGATTATTGTCTAGATTCATTAATTCATTAGAGGTTGCAAAATGGTATTTTAATTCTGTCATTCCTTCTTCATAGATTCAGTGGAATAGTATCTGTAAAGTAAAACTTCTCATCAACTGTTTGATTACCCTGAAGGACAGTTCGTATAGGGACAAATGTTTGATTTTTTTCCCTTTATTTACCAGTTTTTAAAAAAATGAATTGGTTTCTTAGAATCCTACAAAGGTGACCGGTAATTTTTTATTCATTATTGTTATGAGCTCATGGATTTAAACATTTTTTAACTGATCAGCCTATCACACTTGATCCTCAAATTATACCATTTTTGGCCAGTAGGAGGCTCTTCAAGTTGGCTCCTGAGTCCTTTTAATGTGATGCTAATAGTTTTTGATAGCTCTCTTGCTTTCTGATATAACAGAATGTTCAGACTCATCCTGTGCATTTCCAACTCAATCCTGAGATCTTCTCTTTCCCCAAAGAACCTTGGTTCCTTTTATTTGAATATGGTACTTAGAGACTACACTCTAGACACTAGGGATGTTCATTGCTACTGGGTTAATTATTGTTTCTAGGCCTTTTCAATGGATTGAGTCGGGAATTCGTTTGTTTGTTTTTTAAATATAAAATAAACTGATTACTCTTGCCTCTGTTTCTGAGATCCAAAGATTCTGGTTCTCAGTGACACCAATATAATTGTTCGTTTGCTTTACCCCACAATATAAGCACAATAGTCTCTAGAGTATTTCTTTTATTATACAAGTAATACATGTGTTTATTGTTTCAGGGATCAGTGATGTTCAGTGATGTATCTGTGGACTTCTCTCAGGAGGAGTGGGAATGCCTGGACCCTGCTCAGAGGGACTTGTACAGAGACGTGATGTTGGAGAACTATAGCAATCTGGTGTCAGTGGGTAAGGGCATCTATACCAGTAATTTAGAGTTCTCCTCTGGAATGTCTGTTTCTTCCACAGTGAATTTCTCAGCTGCTTTTCAAGTTACCAGCTAAATTTCTGCTCCCTATTCCCAAATAAATGGTTTGAGCTGAAATGAAAAAGAAGAGCGGGAAATGGGCAGCTCCAATTGGCTATGGCTGAAGCTTCATCTTCTTTCTTTGGCTGTTCCTGTAGTGGCTTCTCTTCTTTGATCATCAAGGGACTGGATCTTATTTCTGCATCTGATTTACCCACAGCATAACCATGTTCCATGTCTTTTCTTGTGAGCAGGATTTTATATTCCTAAGCCTCAAGTGATCTCCTTATTGGAACAAGGGAAAGAGCCCTGGATGGTTGGCAGAGAGCTGACAAGAGGCCTGTGTTCAGGTGAGGAGCTTACAGATGACCTGTTTCATTCCTTCCCTTGCCTACTACTCTTTCTACTACTCTTCTCTGACACCCCTCTTAATTTCAAGTAGAAGGTGCCCTTCACTTCTCCTCCAAAGAAAACTCTTTTACTTATATTTTAGATTCAGTTCCTTGCTAACTTCTCTTCCCCTTAGACTCATCTAAATGTGTTCTATTACCATGCTCAAAATAATATATTTGTGTGTGTGTGTCTGTACTGCCCCTCCCCTCCAACTACTGGTCTTTGTTGTAGCTGCCTGCCAGTGACTTTTTTTTTTTATCAGTTGGTTGTGCATTTTTCCTTTATCCAACATTTTTTGACTTCCTAATTTGTGCAAGAGAGTCTGCCAGGTGCTGCAGTTGGCTAATTATGTCAGCTATTAAGAACTCGGAGTCAAAAAATGGTGCTAAAATATATCCATAAATAACTTCCACAAAGTAGAATCTAGTAAAAGAGTATCACACAGGGAGCTTAGCAGGAAGTCAGGGGCTTTGTAGAAGTGGAATTAATCCATACGGAAATAGTAGTGGGAGCCTTGCAACTGATTGCAGTCACCATCTGTAGACACAGTGTCAGGAAAAACAAAAAGGTCTGTGCCTGTTTCGGAAAGGAAGAGGTGGCAGAGGAGAAGAGATTTGATATAAAGGAGGAGAACCAGAAGAGCACTTATTGAGCACTACTGTATACTAGCCATTGGTCCGGGGGCTGGGATAATAGTACTGAACAAAACATTCAAAGCTCTGCTCTGCTGGAGCCTGTATTCTAGAAGGTGAGAGAGAAAAAATAGATATATATGGAATGTCAGAGTGTGGTAAGTGCTGTGAAGCGAGGTCAGAGAAAGCCTCTCTGATGGGGTGATATTTTAATCAAGACCTGACGGAAGTGAGGGAACAAGTAATGTAAATGTCTGAGATTCAGGCAAAAGAAACAGGCAGAACAAGTAAGTCCCTGAGTTGGGAGCTTTTTGGCTCCTACTATTGTGGCTGGAGCAGAAGGAACAAAGGGAACTGTGTGAAAGGAGCTCAGCGAAGCAGCAGGATGTATGTGTGTCTGTGTGCTAGGTGCAGCTGGGAGGCAGGGGGTGCCTGCAGATGATTTGGGGTCCTGTGGGCCTTTATATGGGCTTTGAATTGTTGTCTGAATGAGTGTAAAGCCATTCTATTCTGAATGATATGATTTGAGCAGAGGAGTAATGTTATGTTTTTAAAGGATCATTCTAATTCAGAGGTTGCTAATTTTGGATTCCTTTGGATACAGGTTAGGGAACTTAAGATGAACTTAGATGAGAAGAAAAAATGCATCTTTATATTGGTAACCTGTAATTGAAATTTAGCTTTTCTCCTATTATGGTGTATGCTGCAAACCATAGTAGTAGTAGGAGTTCTACTTTGACGTGAATGGAAATCACAGATATTTTTGTATCATTTCACTGTTATTGTAGACATATTGAAATATCATTTATGCTCATCACTATTTCAGAATTATTGTAGTACTAGGCTCACTGCTAGGTCTTACTATTTAATGTGTTATTAAAGAAGAAAACTCCAGGCAGAAAGCAAAACACCTATGAAGGCCCTTCTAGGAGGGGAAAGCTTGGTGTGTTTGAAGAACTGAAAGAAAGCCAGTGTTTCTGGGCCCTGTGAGCAAGCGAGAGTGGAGTGTGAGTTGAGGTTGGAGAGACAGGTAGGAACCACATCACTCAGCCTTTGCCAGTGATTATGAAGAGTTTGGATTTTGAGCAGTGCAAGGCCAGGCCAAATGTCATTTTGGTCCCTGAAAACATTAAAGAGTGTGAGTCCTTGGTGGGGAGACCAGGTTAGGAGGCTACCACAGTGGTCTGAGTAAGAGGTGATTCTGGTTTGGAAGAGAGCATTGGCAGAATAGACAGAAGAGGACAGTTTTAAAAGTTACTTAGGAGCTTAACTAGATGAAAGTTGCTGAAAGATTATATAGAGGTAGGGGAAAAAAGATTATGCTGGAATGAATTCCCTGTTTCTGGCTGGAGATGTTCCACTAGGCTCCATTTTGATGGCTTCAAACCATTTAATTTGCCTAAAATCCCCATTTTTGGTAAGAAATCCTTTCATAATAATAGCTATCAAATACTAAACACTTACTTGAAGACATTTACACACATTTTTCCTTACTCTCCCAGTAATCATGAGTTAAGGTGAAGAAATGGGGACTTAGAAAGGTTAAATCAGGGCCGGCCCCGTGGCTTAGCGGTTGGGTGTGCGCGCTCCGCTGCTGGCGGCCCGGGTTCGGATCCCGGGCGAGCACCGACGCACCGCTTCTCCGGCCATGCTGAGGCCGCGTCCCACATACAGCAACTAGAATGGATGTGCAACTACGACATACAACTATCTACCGGGGCTTTGGGGGAAAAATAAATAAATAAAATCTTTAAAAAAAAAAAAAAAAAAGAAAGGTTAAATCATTGCCTAGGAACATAGAATGAGTAACTGTCAGAGTTGGGACTCAGCTCCCACCAGTCTGCTTCTGGATCCTGTCATCTCTCCATGGCAGTATTTTGCACTATGTCGTATTTTCTTTCTGTCTGCTATAAACTTTAACTACCCCCCGTCAGTCACTGCAGTGTTACATGAGCAAGTCTCTCTCTTCTCCTAAGATTAACATCACACAATTCCAAGGCAAACAGTATTTTCACTGAATTCCCAGCACGTAACATACTGAGTCTTCCCTATCTGCCACTCACATCAATTTGTTCAATATCTTAGACTTATCTCAGGCTATTCCCTCATGTGGCTAACCGTCTGTAATCTCTTTCAAATTTCATCCAATATATCCTTTATCATGGAGACTATTCTGTTTCCATCCCACTGGGTGTGCTGCAGTTTAATTCTGACACTAACTACCCAGAGTTAGAGTAGACCCCAAAGGTTAACGGCAAAGTCTTACACCAAACTGCCCTCACTTCAGACACCAGCTGCAAGTCTCAGGGGGTCCTCAGACCACCCACACTTCTGACCAACTGGTTTTAAATTTGAGCATTTCCGTGACCCCTGCAGGTTCAATAATTTGCTAGAATGACTCACTAAGTATAGTCCTAAGTATAGAACTTAGGAAAGCTCTATACTTATAATTGCAGTTTTACTATAAAGGATATATATTAGGGCAAGATCTGGTAGGCTTCCAGATGCAGAAGTTCCACACCCTCCCCTTGTGGAGTCAAAGTGTGTCACCTTCCCAGCATATCAATGTGTTCACCAACCAGAAAGCTCCACTGAGCTTTGGTATCCAGTGTTTTTATTGGGTTTAGTTACATTGGCATGATTGATTAAGTCATTGCCCACTCAATCTCTGGCCCCTCTCTCTTCCCCAGAGGTCAAGTAGCTGAAAGTCCCAGTCCTCTAATCACATACTTGGTCTTTCTTGTGACCAGTATCCATCCATCTATCTAGGGACAGATCATGAGTCGCCTCATTAGCATAACAAAAACACCACTATCATTCAGGAAATTCCAAGAGTTGTTGAAGCTCTGTGTTAGGAACCGGCAACAAAGACCAAATTTATTCTTTATTATACTGCAGAGCCCAAGAATCTTCCTCTATATGCATTTATTCCTTTCAGGAGACCTTTAATGGAGGTCAGAAAATCATCCACTTTTTGTAATACATATAGTCTGATGAAACATTCTGTTTCTTACATACAAATGCATGCATGCTTATATAGATGTATATATAACTAGTTATCTTTCATATGTGCAAGCATTTTATATTTACCAACCTTTCCAGATGATTCTGATCCACATCAATATTTGAGAATCATTGTGGTTTCCTATTTCCATAGTCTCCTCCCTCCATTTCCTGTGTTATGTCTCATAAATTACTGTGCATTTCTTGTCCCTTTTTTGGATTAAACAGATATACTTGAGAACTGTATGTCATTTACTACCAGATATCATTTTTACTTTACTTTTTCCATTTCTATTATAAATGTTTAACTTTTCACAAATAAGGGGGGAAAAGAACATTTACCATTTCATTTTCTTTCAGATCTGGAATCAATGTGTGAAACCAAGTTATTATCTCTAAAGAAGGAAGTTTATGAAATAGAATCATGCCAGAGGGAGATAATGGGACTTACAAAGCATGGCCTTGAGTACTCCAATTTTAGAGATGTTTTGGAATATGGAAGCCACTTTGAAAGACAACTGGGATATCAAAATGGGCATTTCAGTCAAGAAATATTCGCTCATGAATACATGCCCACATTTATTCAACAGACATTCTTTACTCTACATCAAATAATTAATAATGAAGAGAAACCCTATGAATGTAAGAAATGTGGAAAGGTCTTTAGTCAGAATTCACAATTTATTCAACATCAGAAAATTCATATTGGTGAAAAATCTTATGAATGTAAGGAGTGTGGGAAATTCTTTAGTTGTGGCTCACATGTTACTCGACATCTGAAAATTCATACTGGTGAAAAACCCTTTGAATGTAAGGAGTGTGGAAAGGCCTTCAGTTGTAGTTCATACCTTTCTCAACATCAGAGAATTCATACTGGTAAGAAACCCTATGAATGTAAAGAATGTGGGAAGGCCTTTAGTTATTGCTCGAATCTTATTGACCATCAGAGAATTCACACTGGTGAAAAACCCTATGAATGTAAAGTATGTGGGAAAGCCTTTACTAAGAGCTCACAACTTTTTCAACATGTGAGAATTCACACAGGTGAGAAACCCTATGAATGTAAGGAATGTGGCAAAGCTTTTACGCAGAGCTCAAAACTTGTTCAGCATCAGAGAATTCATACTGGTGAGAAACCCTATGAGTGCAAGGAGTGTGGCAAAGCCTTTAGTAGTGGCTCAGCACTTACCAATCATCAAAGAATTCACACTGGGGAGAAACCCTATGATTGTAAGGAATGTGGGAAGGCTTTTACTCAGAGCTCACAACTTCGTCAACATCAAAGAATTCATGCTGGTGAGAAACCCTTTGAATGTCTTGAATGTGGGAAGGCCTTTACTCAGAACTCACAACTTTTTCAACATCAGAGAATTCATACAGATGAAAAACCATATGAATGTAATGAATGTGGAAAGGCCTTTAATAAATGCTCAAACCTTACTCGACATCTGAGAATTCATACTGGTGAAAAGCCCTATAACTGTAAGGAATGTGGGAAGGCATTTAGTAGTGGTTCAGATCTCATTCGTCATCAGGGAATTCATACTGATGAATAATAAAGTGCTTGTCACCTTCCTAATATTTTAAACAAAAAAGTTCATGTTTGATAGTTACTCGCTTTCACTATTTTTTGTTTCTTAATTTTACTTTAAGTTTCTTTTTAATCCAAATGTATTTCATTCTAAGTTATGAATTCAAATTCAAAATTGACATTTGCCCATCCCTCCCCCTCACAATATTATACTAATGGCAGTTGTTCAGTAATTCTTTCCTTCCCCATTATTTTGTTCTATCTTCTTGGTGATATGTTATATTCTTGTGTATATTTGCTTGTGTTTCAGGGCTACCTTTTCTTCTGTGATCCATATATTTGTGCTTACACCAATATTACATGGTTTAAATTGTGTGACCTTGTATTTTTTAATTCCTTGTAGAATTATAACTTTGTTTTTGAAGTCAGTGTTAATCTTTTTGTTTCATTTCACAAATTTATGTTTTCTTTTTACAAAACAGAAAATCAGAAAACCGGAAACTAAAAAGCCAAGATTGTAATCATGTCAGCTATAAATGACTACTCTCAAGTTGGTGGAGCAAATCCTACCAGACTTTGTTTTTAAAGAAAGTGTAGTATTGTACCTTCACCTGCTTTTATCACACCAAAATATGATGGCCATTTCGATAAATATAGATTTTTATTATTTTTAATGACTTACATTGAGTGACTTTTTAAAATGACTCTTATTCATACTATGGTTGCATCTAAATGTTTGCAGTTATGAAATCTGCCCTGATTAATATAACCCAAAGTTTATCTTTGGATGCTTGTTTTTTTCTTTTCTTTTTTTTTTCTTTTTATTTTTTTGTGTGAGGAAGATTAGCCCTGAGCTAACATCTGTCACCAATCCTCCTCTATTTTGCTGAGGAAGACTGGCCCTGGGCTAACATCCTTGCCCATCTTCCTCCACTTTATATGGGACACTGCCACAGCATGGCTTGACAAGCGGTGCATCAGTGCCCACCCAGGATCCAAACCCCGGGCGGCTGCAGCGGAGCACGCGCACTTAATTGCTACGCCACTGGGCTGGCCCCTTGTTTTTTTCTTTTAAACATCTATTTTAATTGCTGAAATTATCCACACTTTCTCCTCGTGAACTGCTTCGTTTCTTTTCATCAACCCTAACCTCAATCTTATACTAGAAAGGTAATTAACCACTGTTATCAAAGTATTACTTATCCTTCCAGATATTTTTTTTTTACTTTTTACTTATATATGTTAGTGGCATTTTATTTCCTATGTATTAGTAAGTATAATCATACTGTATGTATTGGTTTGTTGTGAGGATTCAATGAATTAATAAATGTAAACTGCTTAGAACTATTCCTATCACATAGTAAATGTTTGGTAAAGTTGTCAACTGTTATCATTGATACATTTTCGTAATTATCTTCATTATTATTTGTGGAAAGGATTTTAGTCATGTTGTTTACCTTTGTCTGAATGAAAGAATTCATAATGAAAAGAGAGAAATGAGTGTCTTTAGGAAAGCTTTTTCTGTCACTCATTATTCAGCATGGAATTTGAAAAGGAAGAGAAAAAGTATGTGTGGGTAGTCTTCATTCAGACTTTATCTTTCATGCTGCACAAAGATTAATACCAGTGAAACCCTGTGGATATAATGATGGGTAGTTGAAAGCACAGCTGTCAAAAAAGCAGGCAGAGATGAGAATATCTTTCCTAATAATTAGTTCCCCCCAAAACAGGAAATATACAGGCCATGTTATTTGACCAGAACGGGGGAAACAGTAACAACAGGATAGCCATCAATTATCGGAATATTAATTCAGTGTCCCCTGTAATCAACATGGGTTAAGGAACTACATCCTTAATATGCACATTATTTAAATGTGAATGAAAATGAGAACAATTGAAAAACCTGTAGTGGCAGTCAAAGTTGTGTTGGAAGTTTTATAACCCAATATGCATGCATAGGTTAAAATACTAGAAAGATCAGTAATAAATAAAATAAATTAGAACCCAAGGAGCTAAACACAAGCAAAAATAAATCTAAAACATGGGTAGAGAAAGGCCTTGTTAGTTATAAAATGCAGAAATAAAGAAAAAAGTAAATGATTTAAAATAGAAAATTTGATTATTTGACCAAAAAAAGTAGACAAACTTTAGTGACCCAGGTGGGGAAGCAAGGATGACAAATGAACAGCATTGTGAATGAGAAACTGAAATGACTACATATTTAAATTTAAAGGAACTATATCTTTTTTGGGTCATGAAAATGTTACGGGATTAGTGGTGTAGGTTGCACAACTTTGTGAATATATTAAAAACCACTGAACAGTGTATTTAAAAAGGGTGAATATAATGGTATGTGAATTTTATCTCAATTTAAAAACTTAAAATTTAGTACTGTAGACGTTTTTGTAATATATCTGAAAATCTGGACAATTTTGTCCACACAAAATCTGGACAATGTGTGGTTTTTATAAAGGAATTGAGTTGACTTGACATCAGAATTGATTAAAGAAGAGGTGTCAAATCTTAATAGACTCCCTTCCAAAAGGAACATTTTAAAATTAGACCAAAAACTACTTTAAATGTCACACAGCTACACTAAAGAAAACACCAAACTAGATATATTTATAGGTGAAATCTATGAAATGTTTTAGGAACTCTTCCAGGACATAGACTAAGAGAGCAAGTTACCTATTTTTATGAATTTATCATAATCCTAATGTTAAAACTTGCTAGGAGAACACAAAAAGATAGTATGTCCAGAATCAGTTATGAAAATATGCAGTAGCAAAGCAAATCTAGTAATCTGTTGAAAGATAATGAATATTTGTCACAATCTGAATTTAGGAGCAAAACGTTTCTGATAAATCCTTATCCAAACTTCCTACTCACTTGTTGAAGCTTGGAAATCAAATTGATTTAGGTAGCATAGTATTCCTTAGTATCTGAACTCAGGAACCAAATAGATTTGGATAGCAAGGGATTCTTGGAATACAACACAAGTTAATTCACATGGAATTTCTAGAGTTCAAATAACTAAAGCACTAAAAATGAAAATACTTAATCAAGCCCCAATAACTTCTAGATGCATCCTTGTTTTTTCTTAGCAGTATTTGGCAGAATGGGGTATGTTTTATCAATAAACTTAAGAGTTATCCTACCTGCTGCAATATCACTGCATTCATCCATTTATACCCTGTCTACTTCTCACTTGAAGAGTCTTTAAAACCTAACCAATGAATCCAATCACTGCCATGCATTTTAGTATGAGGGTGTAGTGGGAGATGGGAAGGAGGTTATTAAAACAAACACAGAACTTCAACTTTCATTGCAATTAGAATATAGAAGAATATGAAAGGCCATCATTCCCATGATAGCAAGAAAAGCCTTGACAAGATAAAAATCATACTTTCCTATGGGACTATTTAAGAGGGATCAAGGCAAGAAAGCCTTGAACTGAATTCCTGATAGAAATAAGCCCTTTATAGGTGAACAGTTTGCTCTGACTTTCCATACCTGGGTGCAGTGCATGATGGTATGGGTGTGGGTATGGGTACGAGTATGAATATGGGTGGATGAAGGAGTAGGCCCGACAGATGAAGAGACTTTACAGAGATAAAGAGAAATTAGTAGCGCCTAAAATGATACTTAGGACTTTCTGGATGGATTAGAATCTGGAAGAGCCTCAAATGCAAAAGACTTAAACAATACTATTCACCAGCTTTACCTAATAAACATTTATTTAATGGTACTCACAATAACCACAGAATACACCTGCTTTTCAATTATATAGGAAACATTAAGACCACATGTTGGGCCTTAAAACAAGATTCAATAACTGTCAAAGAACTAACATCATACAGATTATTTTTTTTAACCCAGAACTAAATAGAGCTCAGTGATTAAACATATACAGAAAATCCTGTTTTCTTCCAGAGGCTTGATAATCTTAGCTTTTAATTTTAGATATATGATTCACCTAGAATTAATATTTGTGTATGGTATGAAGTGTAGGTTGAGATTCATTTTTTTCCCTCACATAAATATTCAGTTTTTCCAGCACTTTTTGTTAAAAAAGACTTTCTTCTTCATTGAGTTGCTTTGGTACTTTTATCAAAAATAAATTGACCATAATGTATACCTTTATATTAGCAATATACACTTGTAAAATGAAACAAAAATACAGTTTATAATAGTATCAAAAACATAAAATAGGAATAAGTTTAATAAACGATATCAAAGATCTTTATGGAAAACTACAAAACGTTGCTAAAAAAGTTAGACAAGATCTAAATAAATGGAGATACCATGGCTGTGGATTGGAAAACTCAATATCTTTAATAAACTTTCCCCAAATTTATCTATAGATTCAATGCCATCCCAGTCAAAATATTAGCATGCTTTTTTTTAAAATTGATAAAATTATTTTAAAATTTGTATAGAAATCCAAAGACCTAGAATAGCCAAAATCAGTAATGAAAAAGAACAAATTGAAGGACTTTCAGTATCTGATTTCAAGATTTGCCATAAAGCTATGATAAGGCAATAAAGACCATGGTGTTTGTCTAAGGATGGACAAATAGGTCAATGGAGTAGAATAAAGAGTCCAGAAACAGACAGCAAACCCCAGAGTTCAACTGGTATATTCCAGCATGTCACAAAGCAATTTGACCATGAAACCCATTTTCCTCCTAATTGTTATTAACATTTGTGAGAAATAAATACATTTAGGAAATATTTACTTGACTAAAATACAGGAATAAAAGGATGAAGTTGAAGAGATGATTGTAGATAGATAGCTAACTATTTGGAGTTAGGAGCTTTTGCATTTCTCCAATGTTAAGCCCTGTAGACAGTCTAGTTTGTCTGTGGAAGACGGTCCTGCTCTGCAGAAGGAAATGCCTCTCACCAAACACCTCACAAATCTTGCCTTCCTCCATCACTTCCCCTCCAGCCAGATCCTATGAGAGAGATTTTCTTTAAACATTGAATTATGGTAGTTTTTACAGGTTTTTAA